CTTCTGCAGTGTAGAACCTCCACCTTCCAGTTAAACCTCGGTTAAGTGGAATGCACCCGGGCACACCATACCACCGATGGGTCCCAACCAATCACTTTTCCTTAAAACAATTTGCCGCCTCCCAAGACCAACAACTGTCCCCAAAACTAAACCAATCAAGCATGCAAAGACACCTCAGGGGAGGGCGGGTGGGAAGTGTCCTCTTCAGCTGCTATACCAGCACTGGATCGTCCGACCCCCCAACACTCCCCCAAAATCATCAATAATCCCACCCCGTGCTACTATCACCAATCAGGTAACCTTCCTGTTTTAACCCCTCCACTTTAAAACTTAACCCTTTCCTGTCTTTCTTTCCCCTCTTCACCTAGTCATGTCTGCCCTACTCTAGTCTTCTCTTTTTTTCTTTTCGCTATGGGCACCCCTCTAATACGCCTAAAAATCATGCTCAGTGCATCAAAGACGAACAAAAAACATTGTTAACTGAATTTTTTTAAACCAGATTTCCAGTGAGAGAATTGAATCGTACCAGACTTATTGATGAATGCCATTAAATGTTATTAAAGCATTAAAGCTGCTATTATTTCTCAAAAGCGTCTTAACAGAAGAAATTTAAGTAGGAAATCTATTATTTTCTTGAAGGTCGATTGAAACCTACAGATGCAGCAAGTCATTAGCTTGTTCCTAACCGCATCAACACATAAATCAGATATTTCATTAATGAAAGGTGAGTCCTCACCTTTTATCCCCGTTCATCGCTCTCTAGGGTGGTATTGATTTAAGGGGCCCTCTTTCATTATTATTATCTACTGTCAAAACACAGATGAAAATGCAAAGCGTTCATTCGCAAACTTTCTCTGCTATCTTTAGAAGGAATAAGGAATCATCAGTCACTTGCTGAGAGATCACATCTTGGCTAGGCAAAAGTATATCCAACATCTTGCACGCATCATTTGCACATGTGACACCACGTCGTTTTCACTGCAGCGTGTCACAACAGGTTTAATAAGCATACCGCAATGCTGAGACTTGTTAATTGAAGTATATGTCTGGGGAAAATAATAAAGATAATAATAATAAAAAAAGATAAAAAATAATAAAGAAATAATAAAAAGAAAACACACGTTCTCCCTAAGTTGCGTCTCTTTAAAAATTATGCAGGTACAAAAAAAAAATGGATTGTTGATCCTGCCATAAATCCAGTGGGTTTCTAACTTCCTGTTTAACTTCCTGTTTGAACTGACAACATTGCACTAAAATCCCAGGCAGTTATTTAGTCCAGTAGGGAGAACTGGGCAAGGCTGACAACACTGCTTGGGATTTCACTGCATCAGAGGCAATGCTGGGTTTTTTTGTGGCTAAAAAAGTACTTTACCCCCTTCCTGTCCAGGCCACTTTTCAGCTTTCAGCGCTATCACATTTTGAATGACAATTGCGCGGTTATGCAACACTGTGTCCATATGAATTTTTTAGCATTTTTTTGAGACAGATAAAACTTTATTTTGGTGGTATTTATTCACCGCCGGGATTTTTTTTTTTTTGCTATATAAATTAAAAAGTCCAAAAATTAAAAAAAAGTGTTTTTCTTATACAATTTTGCAAATAAATAATCTTTCTTCATATATCTTGGCCAAATTTTATTCAGTTATCTTTTTAGTAAAAAAAATAACATAACCCAAATTAGTTTATAACCAAAAATTATAATTTTTCAGTTTTTGTTTTTATATTAATATTTATGTTTTTTTTTGTTTGTTTTTTAACATACTGTCACCCTAGCAGTACAGTGTTACCATAGTGACACTGTACTGCTTGTGGGGGGTGATAAAAATTTTTTTTTTTTTTACACTGATTGCTTTTACACCCATAAAGGCTGCAAAAGCAAAAAACAATTTCTCCTTCTCTCTGGCTGCATTCTTGCAGCCATTGAGAAATACTGTGTGAGCTGTGATTGGTCACAGCTTGTCACATGGTACAAGGCTGTTGTCAATAGCCTTGTGCCATGTGACCTCTGTGATCATTCACAGATTTCACACGTAGTAAGCAATGACATGAGAAAGTGACATCTTGCTTACTACTCTTCCTGTGATCACTGATTGCCCAATCAGTGATCACATGATCGGGACCTCACACAGAGGTCCCGTACAACAATCGGACACAGCGGGCACCGGATCACGGTGCTGAGCACTCCTAGGGAGCGCGCACAAGCAGGGAGCGGGGAGGACGTTTATAAATGGCCACTCGTCCCTGCACTGCACCCATCCTCCGTTTATAAACATGGGGCCGGACAGGAAGAGGTTAAATTGCTTATAAAGTTATAATGTTTTTTCCCTTAAAGTGTTACTAAACCCACAACAGTAAAATCAGTCTGTATATGCAGTAAAGCATGCTTGTTATACTCACTGTGGAACCTAAGGGGTTAATCCTCACATTATGTAAAAACACTGTTTGATCTTGTCTTCTTTGATCTTCCACTTCTTCCAGTTTCCTCAGTCCATCTGTCATAGTACAGAGCAGAAGTGGCAAGCCTGCACATGCTCTGTTTGGTGTTTATTGGTAGGGAGTTTTTTTTTTGGGGGGAGGGGGAGAGTGCATATGATCAGCACAGGGCCAATCAGCACCATCCAGACAGAGGGTCAGGTGTCATGCAGCCTCACAGGACAGTCAGAGGAGAATGGAAACTCCTCCTTCAAGATTAACCCCTTCACGCTCTTTTTCTGTGGGGCTGCATATTTGCGTACGTGTCTTTCAGCTCAGAGCACGCCGCACAGCACGCTCCCAGCACAAGGACTGGGGTGTCACTGAGAGCCCCAGGTCCTGTTCTAACAATCGGGACCCGGTTTCTCCCGATTCCGGGTCACTTGATCGCTGTGATAGCCTCTGATTGGCTATCACAGTGATCAGTCACTGTACAGCCCCCCCCCCTTGTTTTTTTTTTTTTTCTCTATGAATGGAGGAGAGAGATACATTGTATCTCTCTAACTCCTTGCATACAGAAAAAAAAAATGTTTGTTAAAAAGAAAGAAAAAAAGAAATATTTAAAAATGAAAGAAAAAATACCTACCGTATTTGCCGGCGTATAAGACGACTGGGCGTATAAGACGACCCCCTACTTTTCCTGCTAAAATGTAGTGTTTGGGCTATACTCGCCGTATAAAGACTACCCCTCTTCCAATGCACACCAGTGGGAGGAATAGTGCCCCATCATTGGTATCAGTGGGAGGAATAGTGCCCCATCATTGATGTCAGTGGGAGGAATAGTGCCCCATCATTGGTATTAGTGGGAGGAATAGTGCCCCATCATTGGTATCAGTGGGAGGAATAGTGCCCCATCATTGGTATTAGTGGGAGGAATAGTGCCCCATCATTGGTATTAGTGGCAGGAATAGTGCCCCATCATTGGCATTAGTGGCAGGAATAGTGCCCTATCATTAGTATCAGTGGAGGAATAGTGCTCCATCATTGGTGTCAGTGGGAGGAACAGTGCCCCATCATTGGTGTCAGTGGGAGAAATAGTGCCCCATCATTGGTATCAGTGGCAAGAATAGTGCCCCATCATTGGTATCAGTGGGAGGAATAGTGCCCCATCATTGGTATCAGTGGGGGGAATAGGTGCCCCATCATTGGTATCAGTAGCAGGAATGGTGCCCCATCATTGGTATCAGTGGCAGGAATAGTGCCCCATCATTGGTGTCAGTGGGAGGAATAGTGCCCCATCATTGATGTCAGTGGGAGGAATGGTGTCCCATCATTGGTGTCAGTGAGGGGTGGAATAGTGCCCCATCATTGGTGTCAGTGGGGGGTGGAATAGTGCCCCATCGTTGGTGTCAGTGGGGGGGGGAATAGTGCCCCATCATTGGTGTCAGTGACACCAATGATGGGGCACTATTCCTCCCACTGAGACTTGCTGACCCTGTTCTCGTATGGTGCTGCTGCAGCCAGCATATGTGGTTGCAGCAGCACCTCTACACAGAACACTTACCTGCTGCTCCGGCACTCAATTTTCGCGGGGCCGCTCGGCTCCGCCCCCTCGCCGGTGATTGGCCGCCTGTGTGCCTTTCCTGAGCTACAGTTCTGGCGGCCAATCACCGGTGAGGAGGCGGAGCCGAGCAGCCGCACGAACATCCAGTGGCCAAACTGAAGGAGACGCCGCGCTTCCTGGACCGGATCGTCGTGGGACTGGATCCAGGTAAGAGACATCAGCCCCTGCAAACCCCTGTACTTAATGCCGCAGCCCCCCTAAACATGTGTACCGGCGTATAAGACGACCCCCGACTGTTGAGAAGATTTTCAAGGGTCAAAAAGTCGTCTTATACGCCGGCAAATACGGTACATCAAGTTTGATCTAGCTCAGTGCCAGGGTTAGTGTTTGGGTAATAGTCAGGGTCAAGGGTCAAGGTCAAAATGTCAGGATTATTATTTTTTTTATTGGTATCAGTGTCAGTGTGTTTTAGGTAAAAAAAAAAAAACAAAAACAAAAATGGTTTCTGGGCTGTACTACGGGTACAAACAAATAACATACACATATATGGTATCGCTGCGATCATCAAGAGCTGGAAAATTTATTTTGGGTTGTTCTTTGGTGGAAGGTTATGGTAGTAACAAGAAACACACAGCTAAATTTAAAAAAATATATATATTTTTTTTACTATTTTGGGCCAGTTTTCCTTTGATAATAAAAAAATTCAGGAGATATCCATTACTATTTACCACCAGATGAAAGCCCAATTTGTCCTGAAAAAAAAACAAGGTATAATTCACCTGGATGTACAAAGTAGTTGTGATGATGTGTACCGTTTTACTAACACATGTCAACGTTGCAAAATTGTGCTTAGGCATTTAGATTTGTTTTACCCTTAGGAGTGAAGGGGTTAACTACTGCTTGGTCAGACACTGATAGAAGTCACAAGACTGCTATATACTGCCGAAGAGAAAAGGTATTTAGCTGTTTATATTTACTAAAATAATTGCATTTCCATGTTGTGTGAACTGTGGGAGACCAGATATAGTGAATGCAGGGTCCAGGGAGACCAGATATAGTGAATGCAGGGTCCTGGGAGACCGGATATAGTGAATGCAGGGTCCGGGGAGACCAGATATAGTGAATGCAGGGTCCAGGGAGACCGGATATAGTGAATGCAGGGTCCGGGGAGACTGGATATAGTGAATGCAGAGTCCTGGGAGACCAGATATAGTGAATGCAGGGTCCGGGGAGACCAGATATAGTGAATGCGGGGTCCGGAGAGAGCGGATATAGTGAATGCAGGGTCCTGGGAGACCAGATATAGTGAATGCAGGGTCCTGGGAGACCAGATATAATGAATGCAGGGTCTGGAAGACCAGATATAGCGAATGCAGGGTCCTGGGAGACCAGATATAGTGAATGCAGGGACCTGGGAGACCAGATATAGTGAATGCAGGGTTCGGGGAGACCAGATATAGCGAATGCAGGGTCCGGGGAGACCAGATATAGTGAATGCAGGGTCCGGGGAGACCAGATATAGGAATTCAGGGTCCGGGGAGACCAGATATAGTGAATGCTGGGTCCTGGGTTTAGTAACACTTTAATGCAGTCCGTGCATTAGCCGGTTCACTACCACCCTATAGTGGTATATATATGTGATTTTGTTTCTCCGGGAAGGGAGCCTGCACGCGCACCACCTTACCTGCGCTGCCTTTGGCGGCTACAGCTGTCAATCTCCAGGTCCTGGACAGAGATTCCCCGCCGGAACCCAGTGATCGCCAAGGAACAGTCCTCTCTCGATCCAGTACTGTTCCAGCTGCAGCTCTTCTTTCCTTTCTTCCTAGTCTCACAGAAGACTCAGGCAGCAGTGTTAGCCATAGGCTCCTGCTGCTGTCAGTCAAATCTTGTGAGTAGGGAGCGGGGGCGTGGCTGAGTCATGTTGTGTGTGGCTATGGACGCCTACAGCCTAGCTCAGGAGTGTGATCACATACAGTTAGGTCCATATATATTTGGACAAAGGCACAATTTTAGATTTTTTCAGGTATTTACCAAAACATATTCAAGCTATAGTTATATAATGGATATGAGCTGAAAGTGCACACTTTCAGGTTTAGTTTGAGGGTATGTACATCCAAATTGTAGGAAGGGGTTTAGGAATTACAGCTCTTAAGAGTAACCATCCCCTCTTTTTCAAGGGACCAAAAGTAATTGGACAATTGAACCAAAAGCTGTTTCATGGCCATGTGTGGGCTACTCCTTCTTCATCAATTAAGCAGGTAAAAGGTCTGGAGTTGATTCTAAGTGTGGTATTTGCATTTGGAATCTATTGCTGTGAACCTCCATCATGCGTTCAAAGGAGCTGTCCATGCAAATGAAACAGGCCATTTTAGGTCTTCAAAAATGAAACAAATCCATCAGAGAGATAGGACCAACATTAGGAGTGACCACATCAACAGTTTGGTACATTCTGAGGAAAGAAGAATACACTGGTGAGCTCAGCAACATAAAAAGGCATGGACATCCACGGAAGACAACAGTGGTGGATGATCGCAGGATCCTCTCTATGGTAAAGAAAAAACCATTCACAGCATCCAGACAAGTGAAGGACACTCTCCAGGAGGTGGGCGTATCATTGTCAAAGTCTACAATCAAGAGAAGACTTCACGAGAGCAAATACAGAGGGTTCACCACAAGGTGCAAACCATTTATAAGCCTGAAGAATAGAAAAGCCAGATTAGACTTTGCCAAAAAACATCTAAAAAAGCCAGACCAGTTCTGGAAAAGCATTCTTTGGACGGATGAAACTAAGATTAATCTGTACCAGAATGACGGGAAGAAAAAAGTGTGGAGAAGGCTTGGAACAGCTCATGATCCAAAGCACACAACGTCATCTGTAAAACATGGTGGAGGCAGTGTGATGGCATGGGCATGCATGGCTTCCAGGGGCACTGGGTCATTGGTGTTTATTGATGATGTGACAGAAGGCAGAAGCAGCCGGATGAATTCTGCAGAGTTTAGAGATATACTGTCAGCCCAGATTCAGCCAAATGCAGCAAAGTTGATTGGACGGCGCTTCACAGTATAGATGGACAATGATCCAAAACACACTGCAAAAGCAACCCAGGAGCTTTTGAAGGAAAATAAGTGGAATATTCTGGCCGAGTCAATCACCTTATCTCAACCCAATTGAGCATGCATTTCACCTGCTGAAGGCAAAACTAAAGGCAGAAAGACCCATAAACAAAAAAGAACTGTAGACAGCTGCAGATAGAGCCTGGCAAAGCATCAGAAAGGAGGAAACCCAGTCTTTGGTAATGTCCATGGGTTCCAGACTTCAGGAAGTCATTGCCAGTAAAGGATTCTCAACAAAATATTAAAAATGAACATTTTATTTATGACTATATTCATCTGTCCAATTACTTTTGGTCCTTTGAAAAAGAGGGGATGGCTACTCTTTAAGAGCTGTTATTCCTAAACCCTTCCTCCGATTTGGATGTACATACCCTGTGCTCTTTCAGCCCATATCCATTATATAACTATAGCTTGAATATGTTTTGGTAAATATCTGAAAAAAAAAACTAAAATTGTGCCTGTGTCCTAATATACAGTATATGGACCTAACTGTATGTGCCACTATAGCACACGATTTGCTATGGGGGCAGAAGCAGGAGAGGAGTGGAGAGCGCTGATGTGGCACTACTGAGGAGGAGGCAAGGGGCTGCTCTGTACAATATCATTGCACAGAGCAGGTAAGTATAAACCTTGTTTTTATTCTAAAAAAAAGGCTTTAAAATCATTTTAATGTACAGGTGCACCTTTCACAACAACTACATTAATCCACCCGTCCTAGCCATACTGAACTAATCCACACTTCTGCTGTCTGCTTAGATCCCAACTGAACTTTAGTTTTAAACCAGCTAAATACATTCCAGATGCGCCAAAACAAATGGTGTTCGATGTCTGATAGTTCCTTTTTTTAAAAGCTGCCAGAGCATCAGTAGAAAAGCCTGTCTCCAATCAGCATGGTGAAGATAAGGACCCTTGCTGTTGTCGTGGAAGCAGTGGTTTCTCAGCAGAGATGAACATCATCCTTCGATGCCTACCCCTGGTATTTCAACCCCATTATAATCCTGAGGTGTTTGGCCCTGTATTTGGTAAGTCTGCTGACCTGCTGAGTCCTGAGATTTTATTACCTACAGCTGCCTGTCCAGACCCTGCCTGCCCTGATTTGTTTTGATATACTGTACATATATTCATATTTAGCTTCAAATGGAGAGTTTCACAAGGATTTATTCCACTAATCAGAATGCATTCTAGGGCTGTAGGGTGGGGGGGGGTTATATCAGGTTAAACTTCCTCCTCCTGACCTTTCTCTCTCCCTTCCTCTATACTTCTTCCATGCCTTCTTCCTTTTCCAAAAGCACTTACACAAAAATTTTAAAATCAAGAGTCCTTTCCTTTCCCTTTTCCTTTACCCTTTCCTTTCCCTTTTCCTTGTACCCTTTCCTTTCCCTTTCTGCTCTATCAAGGGTCAATAGCTGTTGTTCCTTCTCTCTCCTTTTCTGTTCCCCTCTTCCTTTTCCATCCTTCCTTTCCTCTTTCCCTTTATTCCTTTCTGTCCTATTTTTCTCCCTTTCTTTCTCTTTCCTTTAATTCTTTCCTCCCTCTTCTTTCCCATTCACTCTTATGTCCTTCCCTTTCTCCATCCCTTCCTTCCTTCCTTTCTGTCCTAGTTTAATCCCCTTCTTTCTTCCTCCCTTTCTATCTTATTATGTTCACTTTATTTTCCTTTCTTCATCCCTTTCTTTCCTCCCTTCTACCTTTCCTCCCTGTCCCTCCCCTTTCTCCTTTTTCCTTCCTTCCTTCTTCCTCCTTCCTTCCTTCCTTCCGTCCGTTTCCTTCCTTCTTCCTCTTCTCTTTCTATTGATTTTTTCCCTTCCTTACCCACTTCCCTTTCTCCTTTTCTTACTTTCTTCTGCCTATGCCTTTCTCTCTTCCTCCCTTCCTTCCTTTTTTCCATAAGTCCTTCCCTTTACTTCCTTTCCTTATCTTCCATCTACCTCCTTTCCCCTCCCTCCTTCCTCCTTCCTTCCCTCCTTCCTTCCCTACCACCTTCCTTCCTTCCTTCCTTCCTTTCCTTCCTTCCTTCCTTCCTTTCCTTCCTTTCCTTGCCTTTCTCTCTTCCTCCCTCTTTTTTCTCTTCTATCTCTATTGATTTTTTCCCTTCCTTCCCCACTTCCCTTTCTCCGTTTTCCTTCCCTTACTTTCTCTCTGCCCATGCCTTTCTCTTCTCTTCCTCCCTTCCTTCCTTTTTTTCCATAAGTCCTTCCTCTAAGATTTTTTTTTCCTTTTACTTCCCTTTCTCTTCACCTCTCTCTCTTACCTCCTTTCCCCTTCCTTCCCTTCCTTGCTTTCTTCCTTCCTGCATTATTTTTTTTTTTTTTTTTTTACATTAGAAAGACTTTGGACTTTATCCGCCTATGGTTTTTGTTTGTTCACTGATGTGAACAAACTATTTGCTGATGCTAAGTGGTTCCTGAGCTGCAATGTCAAAAGTTAGCAAGTCACATTTTATGGTAATTATGTAAAGTAATCAACGTTTTAAAAGTTGCATAAAGTTCAGATCTTGGCGAGAGCCTGCTTGGCCCTCATTAGAGAATATTGTCTGACATTATTTGTTGCAGAAACCAGAAAGAGAAAGCAGACACAAGCAAACATGTCACTGAAGTGCTGCCCTTTAATCTGGAAGCCGGAGGCATGATGTGAAGAGTACTGACAGGGCACAAATGATGAATCTAACAGTTTGAGTCAAGTGATGAGTACACAGACTGACACCTGACGGCAGCAGCACACGGCTAAAATTCAAGTCGGATTAAAGGTTCTAGCCCTTTTCAGCATTGCAAATTACTGTAAAAGTTTTTCTATGCTCATTGGAGGAACTATTTGGATACCAAAAAATATAGATATACACTGCTCAAAAAAATGAAAGGAACACTCTGAAAACCCATCAGATCTCAATGGGGAAACATCTCTTGCTGGATATCTATAGTGATATGGATGGGTAATGTGTTAGGAACGTAAGGACGCCCCATCGTTTGAAGGAAATTAAAATTATCAAACAGAGGACTGAATTCAAAGACACCCCAAAAATCAAAGTGAAAAAATGATGCAGCAGGATAGTCCATTTGCTGAAATGTCATTGCAGCAACTCACAATGGTCCTCAGTAGTTTGTATGGCCCCCACATGCTTGTATGCATGCCTGACAAATGTTGGGGCATGCTCCTAATCAAACGACGGATGGTTTCCTGGGGTATTTCCTCCCAAATCTGGACCAGGGCATCACTGGGCTCCTGGACAGTCTGAGGTGCAACCTGGCAGCATAGGAAGGATTGAAACATGATATCCCAGGGGTGGTCTATTGGATTTAGGTCATGGGAGCGTGGGGGCCATTCAATGGTAATAATTTCTTCATCCTCAAGGAACTGCCTGCATACTCTCACCACATGAGGCCAGGCATTGTCGTGCACCAGGAGGAACCCAGGACCCACTGCACCAGCATAGGATCTGACAATGGATCCATGGATTTCATCCCCATACCTAATCGCAGCCAGGGTGCCATTGTCTAGCCTGTAGAGGTCTGTGCGTC